TTAGTGAACCAGATGGGTTCTTCCTGACAATTGACAATGGATTCATGGTCATCATTAGACTCTTAACTCCAGATTATTGTTGAATTCTAATTCCACCATTTTCCATGGCGGGAATCAAACCCAGGACCCAGCTCTCCAGAACATTAGCTAAATTTCTGGATTAATTAGCTAGTGATAATACCACTAAGCCATTTCTCCGCTTTAGTTTAAGATTGCAAAACCCTAAGCATAGTGTCCAACGTTAGATGTGATTCTGTGATTGGACAGCATAGAACCGTAGAAAGGTTACAGCACAAAAGAGGTCATTCAGTCCATCAGCCTGCACTGGCTGAATAAACTAGCAACACCACTCAACTCACACTTTGCAGCACTTGGTAGGTCACAGATACAGTATTAAGGTGCAGGTCAGATTGCTTTGAGTTGAAAGTTTCTGCCTCAACCATCAAACCTGGCAGCACAAAGCCCAGACACCAACAACCTTCTCTGGGTGAAACTGTTCTCCTTCATACCTTCCTCTAATCCTTCCACCAATCGCCTTAAATCTATCTCCCTCTGGTAACTGGCTACTTGGGGAAACATATCTTCCCTATCCACTCTGTCCGAATCCTTCATTAGTTTGTACACCTCAATTAAATCAGCCTCCTTTAAGGAAAACCAACTCTAGCCTTTCCAATCTTCTCCTGTAGGTGACAAACCCTGACAACATTCCTGTAAATCTCTCTCCAGAGCAATTACATCCTTCCTGTAAAGTGGCAACCAGAACAGTGCACAAATTTCCAGGTGTAGCCTAACCAGTGTTTTATTTAGTTCCAGCATTACTCTTCAATACCTCACCCAATGAACGAAAGCATCCCATATACCTTCTTTGCAACCCTTATCTACTGACTAACATTTGAATTGTAATCCTGAGTGTGCAAACAATTGGGCTAACAACTGATTTAAATCAGCTTAAGACAGGCAGGCTTGCAGTGTGGCATACCTATGTGTACTGGAAGCTATATCAACAGACAAGACCCTGCCCTTTGCAGAGAGGAAAGAAAATGTACACACACTCCACCTGTTTCAGCTCAACAAAATAGGTGACTGCCACTCTCTGTTCATTCCTCCTGGCAATGTGTTAATAAATCAGAATCAAGCTGCCTTGTTTAAATTTAAACAAAGCCTGGAAGTTAACTGTCAATCATTATCTAACTGGTGCACTCTCTATAGCAATGCCTCTTCCAATCAGCGTCCTCTTGCCAACAAATCAACCCTGTCTTCTCATACAATATAAAGATGTTGCTTGCTATCACATTGATATTCTTGCAAATTGTCCTGATGAGTGCAAGGTGAGAAGCTTCAACAAAATGTGTCCTTTTTTCAGGCAGTACTCAAATGATTATCCATAATGGTTATCAATGGGACTGGTTGTTTGACTGTTATAAGGTAGTGACTGTCATTTGCAGATGCATGACTGCACACAAACAAAAACAAAAAGCATAGCCACTATGTATCATAATGGCTTTATAAACACACAAAGCAAATTTAGGCACCTCCTCAGTTTAAGCTGCTGGCTTTCTACAGTGACAAAGGGACAACCAGCTGGTGTCCCCTCTATTCATTTAGTCAAATATGTAGAGAGAGCTTTACTTTGTTGCATCCATGTTACAATGTTGGACTGGGGTGGACAAAGTCAGAAGTCACATGACACCAGGTTATATTCCAACAGGTTTATTTGAAATCACGAGCTTTCGGAACCTCACTCCTTCATCAGGACCTGGCAAAGGGGCTGCGCTCAGAATGCTTGTGATTTCAAATAAACCTGTTGGATTATAACCTGGTATCGCATCCATTTTAGGTTGTGGCTAACTTGTATTTAAAATTAATTGTCACATTTCCTGTTATATACTATACTTTAATAAAATCACCTCTGTTACAATATCATTTTTGTTTTAGGTCAGAGATTGTGGGTTCAAGTCCTACATCACTTTTATTTCTTTATTTTTCTAGTTTATTCCTATAGCCTACATTGTTGGACAATTTATTTCTTTACTTTTCTGTTTTTTTTGTTTCCTAAGAATTTGATCTTAACTATCTGTACCTAGGAACTTTTAGACTTAAAATGATGCCGTAGTGCAGCAACGGTAAGCTTTTCTCTGTACTCATTTGGGTACATGTGACAATATATTTAATTCAATTCAATCCATCTGGCCTTGAGCATACAATTTAGATTGATGTGCAAATGGAATAGTGCCTTTGGACTTAGGAAAATGAGACATTAAAGACTCCATATCCCTATTATTTTAACTGTTTCTAAGATGTTCTTTCAATCTCATTCTTCTCCTTGTGCACACAGAATTCACTCCACGTCCCAGGAAGAGGCCTACAAAGAACAAACCCAAAGGAAGGCAAAGAGCCAATCTACCACAAAAGGGAAACAGTCCAGACTGGTTCCTGGAGCTCCTGCAGACCTTAGGAAAACTGCAAACAGAATGGGATGCAGCTCCAGATCAGCAAGTTGCTACTTCAGTATCACGGCCTGCAGAAGGACACACACATACAGGCAGGAGGCAGAGCAATGTGGACCCAGCAAACAGGAGAACGCAAAGTACTCCTGCAAATGGAGCCGTGCGTCTCGTGAATGAGCATGCCAGGGCAGACCGTGGCAGGGTGGAGATTTATATCAATGGAGTATGGGGGACCGTATGTGACGATCTGTGGAACAGGCAATCAGCTGTTGTTGTGTGTCGCCAACTCGGATTCCCATTTGCCATCGAGGCCTATCGGAGGGCTGAATTCGGACAAGGAAGTGGGCCGATTCTACTGGATGATGTGGAATGTGACGGGAGTGAAAAGAACCTTTTGCAGTGTCGCCATTCAGAAATTGGGGAGACTAACTGTTCGCACCATGAGGATGCAGGTGTTCTGTGTGGGCACACAGAACCTTAAAGAACATTGGACATTTGCAGTGCACAGCGAACGTTGCAGCTTAATTCACCTGTGAAAACAAAATCAAGAATTATCTTTCCAAAACCAATTGCCATTTCTCCAGAGTGTGTGGGAGGCACCTCTTAGAAATGAAGAGTGCTCACTGTAGCAGATTTAGCGTGAGCAACTACTGGCACAGACTGCTTATAAATAATTATGTCAACATTATTCTTTTTGAAGACTGTATCATTATCAAAATAATATATTTTAAACACATGGTAGCCATGAAACTGTGTATTTTCATCTGTCTTTCACTACTGTCGTCATTTGTGGACAAAAGTTATCAGGGATGAAGGAAGGTAGAAAAAGTAAGAGTTGCAATATGCAACTCCATTCTGTAGCAAGCTCACCCATCTCAGCACATCCTAATAGCCAGAGAGGGAATCCCAGGTACAAGCTCATGATCTGGAGTTTCAGGAGAAACAGGCTCCTCAGCACCATCAGAAGAACAAAGGTAACCTGGTAGGTTTCACTGCCTGTGCAGCTGTATATGTATGGAGTTGCTGACTGTCCAACTGTGCTAGTACTTACAGGTTAATCTTCTCTACAAAGTCATAAGCAGGTGAGGAGAAAATTCATGCAGACTGTTAAAAGTAAATTGTGTGCTTGTTTTCATTTTTATCAAATATTTTTCTGAACTAATTACAAAAATATTTTTGAGGTGGGGTAAGCCAGGATCACTAGACGTAGAGGCAGCTGTGATGAAACCTCCAGGAACATGTCTGACCAGAGGTGGCAACTCCTTGGACAGAAATTTAATGTCTTCCCTCAGTGAGTTGGCAGCTGGAGAGGACCTGTACAGTTTGCCAGATGGTATTCCTGACACCTCCCTGCACCCCCACCACCACACCCCGAACACTCCAGAGGCGCTACACTTTTACAGGGGGCAAGCAAGGCTTGGCATCATCCAAAGTGACTAGGTGACAAAGTGCCTCAGTGGTTAGTACGGCTGCCTCACAGCGCCAGGGACCTGGGTTCGATTCCACTCCCGTGTAACTGTCTGTGTGGAGTTTGCACATTCTCCCCTTGACTGTGTGGGTTTCCTCCAGGTGCTCCGGTTTCCTCCCACAGTCCAAAGATGCATTCAGAAGCCATACCACATCAACTTATAGTCTATCTCTATCCATCTTCTATCCGCCTCCCCCTCTCTCCCTATTTATTTCAGAACCCCCTTCCCCTCCCCCATTTCTGATGAAGGGTCTAGGCCCGAAACGTCAGCCTTTCTGCTCCTGTGATGCTGCTTGGCCTGCTGTGTTCATCCAGCTCTGCACCTTGTTGTCTCGGATTCTCCAGCATCTGCAGTTCCTACTATCTCTGATTCAGCTTATAGTCCAACAGGTTTATTTGAAATCACAAGCTTTTAGACCGTAGCCTCTTCATCAGGTGAAGTGATAGAGGAGCACACAGGCACAGAATTTATGAGCAGAGAGATCAAGGGCAGAGAGATCAAAAGATCCTACAAATGGTGTGAGTGAAGTGTTGAATAATAAGTCTCAGGTGACTAAGAGTGTTAGACAGTGAGGAAAGTGTCAACAACTGAATAACAAGTGAAGGGATGACCTATAATCCGATTAAATGAGGCAGGAGGATAATTACAAAAAATTAAAAATAAGGTGGTGCTGGACACGAACTAAATGGCTTGAATAACACAATAGGAATAAGAGTCACATGCCAAGGGTCTAACCAAAGTAATAAGTAATCCAAAACTGTATCAACTAATTAAGGTAGAGAGATCATAACAATTTATCAAGGTGATGGTGTCAAAACAGGACAGTAAGGAAGATTTTACAGATACAGAACAGTGCAGTGGGGTCACACGTAGCGCAACAGGAACGCAAAATCACGGTTGAAGCCGTCTTCATGGGTACGGAACTTGGCTCTCAGCCTCTGCTCGATGATTCTGCGTTGTTGTGTATCCCAAAGTCTGCCTTGGAGGACGCTTACCTGAAGATTGGAGGCCAAATGTCCTTGATCTTTGAAGTATTCCCTGACTGGGAGGGAACATTCCTGTCTGGCGATTGTTGCTCGGTGACCATTCATCCGTTGTTGTAGAGTCTGTATGGTTTTGCCTCGGGGCATCCTTGCCTGCAGCTTATGAGATAGACATTGCTTGAGTCTTGCAGAGATTGCAATGACAGGTTTGTGTGGTGTTTTGGTCAATGTTATCCTGAAGGCTGGGTAGTTAGCTGCAAACAATGGTCTGTTTAAGGTTTGGTGGTTGTTTGAAGGGGAGAAGTGGAGGCACACGGAAGATATTGATGAGATGCTCGTTGTCACCAATAATGTGTTGAAGGATGCAAAGAACATGGAGTAGTTTGTCTGCTCCAGGGAAGTAATAGACGACGAAGGGTATTGTATCGGTTGTATCCTGTGTCTGTCTTCTGAGGATGTCATTGTGGTTTTTCGCTGTGGCATGTTGGAACTGGCAGTCAATGAGTTGAGCATTGTATCCCGTTGTTATGAGGGTGTCATTCATCTGATGAATTCCTGTGCATCTACTGTGAGATCAATGGGGCCCATTTTGGTGGTGGGGCAGAAATTGAGCCCTTGTCTAAGAACTTATGGCCTCTATCTCAATTTCAAGGTTGTGGCATCTGCTGCAGAGTTGGTGTACGAAATGATTGAGGAGTGTGCAAGAGGTGTGACAGCAGAGTCTCTCAGTGTAATCGTATTGAACCCCTCCAGAAGGCTGTAGCCATGGGCTTGGTATGTATGCTCAAGTTGTCAGGATAGAGTCCATATTCCCTGCTTGTGGTCAGTATAAAGCAGAACAGTTACAAGACACTGCCAATCAGATGAGGCAACAGAACTACATCACCTACATGCACACCAAGAACAAGAAACTGGAGAAACTTGGCACCGCCACCAGCAATAACCAAGCCTCCCCTGGTACTACGGTTGAAACCGGTACCACCACAGGGAAATCCACTGTCAACTTGTCTGATCACACCCTTCAACCAGACAAAATCAAAGTTCTCAGCTGAGGGCTCAATGTCTGCCCCACTACCAAAATAGACCCCATTTGTCTCATGGCAGACACAGAGGAATTCATCAGGTAAATGTGGCTCCGGGATTTCCTCCACAAACCCCAAGATGTCAGCAGTGAGCCCAATGAGACAACGAACAAACCAGAGACAGAGAGATCCACGGTGCAGTGACTAAAGAAGAAAGAGTCGAATTGGACCCCTCCCGAGGACCGTTGCACTCGGCTTGAAATGTGTGCTGAAGCCATTAAGAGATATGTTAATGCCAGATTCATCAACCGTGCTCACAAGATAGTGCAGAACGTCACCCAAGCACAACACAACACCATCCGTGCTCTCAAGACCAATCATAACATTCTCATCAAACCAGCAGACAAAGAAGGAGCCATCATCACACAGAATAGAACGGATTAAGGCAAAGAAGCATTCTGACAGCTGAACAACCAGGAACACTACAGACAACTACCAGTCCATCCCACCAAAGAGCACACCCATCAACTCAACAGACTGATCAAGACCTTTGATCCAGACCTTCACAGTATCCTACATGCTCTCATCCAGTGTACCTCTCAAATAGGTATCCTAATATCTGCTATCCAAAGATACACAAAGCCAACACACCTGGGTGTCTCATCCTATCAGGCAATGGGACCCTGTGTGAGAACCTCTCTGGTTATGTTGAGGACATCTTGAAACCCATTGTACAAGGAACCCCCAGGATTCAGGTGCGACACTGCAGAAACTCAACACCCACAAATCAATCGAACCAGGAACATTCCTCATCATAATGGGCGTTTTAGCGCTCCACACCAGCATATCCCATGACCACTGCATCACTGCAACTGCCTCATTACTCAATGCCACCAACTGCCAATTTCCAGACACCATCCTACAACTCATCCGCTTCATCCTCAACCACAATGTCTTCACCTTCGACAACTAGTTCTTTATCCAGACACACGGAACAGCCATGGGGGCCAGATTTGCTCCCCAATATGCCAACATTTTCATGCACAGGTTTGAGCAAGAGTTCTCTGCTGTGCAGGGCCTCCAACCAACACTATACACCAGATGCATTGATGACATTTTCTTCCTTTGGACTCATGGTAAGGAATCACTGAAAAGTCTACATAGTGATATCAACAAGTTTCATCCCACAATCAGACTTACCATGGAATACTCTTTAGAATCAGTCTCATTCTTGGACATACCCATCACCATCAGGGACGGACACCTCAGTATCTCACTCTACTGCAAGCCCACGGGTAACCTCACGATGCTGCACTTCTCTAGTTTCTACCCTAAACATATTAAAGAAGTCATTCCCTATGGACAAGCCCTGTGCATACATAGGATCTGCTCAGATAAGGAGGAATGCAACGGACACCTAATATTTTGTAGGATAAGAAAGAGATACGATGCTCAACTCATTGATCGCCAGTTCCGATGTGCCACAGCGAGAAACTGCAATAACCTCCTTAGAAGAAAGACACAGGGTACGACCGATAGAGTACCCTTTGTCATCCAGTACTTCCCCGGAGCGGAGAGACTACGCCATGTTCTTCACAGCCTTCAATATGTCATCAATGATAATCAGCATCTCACCAAGATCTTCCCCACACCCTGGCTTCTCACCTTCAAACAACCACCAAACCTTAAACAGACCATTGTTCACAGCCTTCGGGACAACAATGACCACAACGCCACACAACCCTGCAATCTCTGCAAGACATGTCAGATTATTGACATGGACCCTACCACCGCACATGGGAACACCACCCACCACGTACATGGCAGATACTCATGTGACTCGGCCAATATTGTCTATCTCACACGCTGCAGGCCAGGATGCTCTGAGGCAAGGCGTATTGTCGAGACCATGCAGATGCTACGATAATGGATGGACACCGCACAACAATCACCAGACAAGGATGTTCCCTCCCAGTCCCCTCCACCGATCTTCAGGTAAGCGTCCTCCAAGGCAGACTTCAAGATACAGAACAACACAAAGTCGCTGAGCAGAGACTGAGAGCCAAGTTCCGTCCCGGTGTAGACAGCCTCAGCTGTCATGTCGAGTTACATGTGACCCCCACCACACTGTTCTGTATCTGTAAAACCTTCCTTACTATCCTGTTTAGATAGCATCACCTTGATAAATTGTTATGATCTCTCTTCCTTAATTAGTTTGTACAGTTTTGGATTACTTATTACCTTGGTTAGACCCTCGGCATGCA